AGAGAAGACACAAATTACCAATATTAGGAATTAAACAGGAAATCACCTCAGACCTTGAAACATCCAAAAGATAAAAGATAAGTTCTTTATACATAAATTTGACAACTTACATGACATGGACCACTTCCTAGAGAAACATGAATGAACACAACTTATTCAATAGATAATAGATAATACAAATAGCCTTATAACAATTAAGAAAATGACTTCTTAATTTTAAAATTAATGAAAATGAAATCTCCAGGTCCAAATACTTTCACTAGAGAACTGTTCAAAGGATTAAATTTCTACTCTCTCTTCCTGAAAAAAGAAGAGTAGGAATACTTTCCAATGTCTATGAAGCTAGTGTTACCTTGGTACCAAAAACAAGGGCAGTCCAAAAGAAAAAGAAAACTGCAGAAGCAGTATCTTCATGAATGTATTAATAGATGCAAAAATCTGTAATAAAATATAAGCAAATGGTATTCAGTAATTTAGAAAAAATTATATACCTTGACCAGATGGAAATTATCTAAGGGTTGCAAAACTGGTTCAACATTTGAAAATTTAATCAATATAATTTTCCATATTAAGAGACTGAAGAAAAAAATTATATCAGAATCATCGATGCAATAAGAGCATTTGACAAAATTCAGCAATCATTCACAATAAAAATTCTCAGAAAAATAAGAATAAAGGGTAATTTTCTTGATAAAGAACCTCTACGAAAAAACCTAATGCTAATATTATACTTCATGGTGGAAGAAAATATTTTTCTTGCAAGATTTAAAATAAGCCAAGAAATGTTAGTTAGCTCTCACTGCTCTTACTCAACATCATGATGGAATTGTAGACAGGATAATAAATCAATAAAAGGACATGAAAGACATACAATTAAAAACGAAGGAATAGAATTATTTCTCCTTGCAGATTATTGTTACAGAAAATAACATGAAATGTACAAAAATTTCTAGAATAAGCGAGTTTGGTGAAGTTCGAGATAAAACATAAGCATACAACTATCAGTTGTATGTTTATATACTAGTGATGGATATATGGACAACAAAATTCAAAATAATAAAAAACTTCAGTTTAAATCTAATAAAACATACAATATTTTATATGTTATAAACTACAACATGCTGATGAGAGAAATTAAAAGTCTATATAAATGGAGAGACATACCCTACGCATGGATCAAAAGACTCAGAATTGGTACAGTAAAAGGTGTCATCTCTCCCCAAATGAGTATACAGATTTATTGCACATCCTCCAGAAATCTCGGTGACATTTTTTTTTAGTATAGACAAGTTTATTCTAAAAGTTATATAGGAAGGCAAAGGGACTAGAATAAGTAAAACAATTTTGAAAATACAAAAATAAATCACTGTTAATCAGTCTATCTGATATACATTTATTAAATAGCCATAGACACAAAGTATTTCTGAAAATGCTGTTGATGGATAGACACATATATCAATGGAACCCAGAAACTGACTCACATATGTGTCCCGCTGATTTTTAACAAAGATGAGAAAGCAATTTAATATGGGCAAGATAACCTTTTCAATAAAGTGGCGCTAAAGCATTTGGACAGCCAGAGACAAGTAAATTAACATCAACCTCCACCTCATACCTTATACCAAAAAAAACCCCTCAAAATAGATCACCATACATTTAAATATAAAATGTAAAGCAATAAAACTTAGGTGGAAAAACTGTAACAAAATAGTACAGATTTTTCCTATATTGAGATCTGAAAATAGGCAAGGATTCTTAGTTTTACATCATACACATTATCCCTAAAAGGAGTAAATGGTAGGGGGGACAAAGAGGGTATCTGCAATAGTGTCACTGATTAAAAACAAAAATAAAAGGAATAAATGATAAATTCAGATTTATGAAAATGAAAAAAACCTTTTGTTTACGAAAAGACCCTGGTAAGAGGATGAAGAGTCAAGCTATAGACTGGGAAAAGTATTTGCAAATCCCACATCTAATACTTGACTGGTGTCAATTTAGAATATATAAAGAACTCTGAAAACTCAACAGTGTAAAAAATAAAAATCCAATTAGAAAATAAGCTAAAAGCGTGAACATAAATTTTCATTGAAGTGGATATACAGATGGCAAGTAAGTACCTGAGAAAATGTTCAACATCTTTAGCCATTAGGGAAATGCAAATTAAAACTACAGAGATATTATAATGTGCCCAGTAGGATAGCTAAAATAAAAAAAGTAACAGCATTAAATTATGGCAAAGATGCAGAGAAACTAGATCACTCATATATATTGCTAGTGGGTATGTAGAATTGTATGGCATTTTAGAAAACAGCCAGGCCAATTTTTAAAAGACTGAACAGGCAACTACAATATGGCACAGCAGGTGCACATTTGGCCAGAGAAGTGAACATTTATTTTCACTCACATGAAAACCCATGCATGAATATTTAAGTAGATCTGTTTCAAATATCAGGTTGGCCAAAGAGTCTATTTAGTTTTTTCTGTAAAATAAAGGACACGTTTCTATTTTTACCAATAACTTTATTGATTTGGATATTTTGAGCATGTTGGCTATCTCCTGCATGATATAACGTTGACTGTTCTCTCAATTAATGTCTCAGTTTCATCACTGGCAACTTCAACTGCTCTATCTGACCATGGAGCATTGTCCAGTGAGAAATCTCCAGCATGAAACTCTGCAAACCACTTTTGACATGTTCAATCAGTCACAGCCCCTTCTCCATACACTGCACAAATCTTTTCTTTATGTTTCAATTGCATTTTTATCTTTCTTGACATAATGAAGTATAATATGCTAAAAATGTTGCATATTTCTTCCATCTTCAATGGCTACACAAAAATACACCAATTTTGATGTCGTTTTGTAAATGCATGCTGATATAACAGCTGTCACAATACAATCTAACAAATTGCTTCGAATGAAGTTAAAGACAGGTAGGCGCTAGTAGAGCCATCTTATGGAAAAAAACAAATTAACTTTTTTGCCAACCCAATATCAAAAACTGGAAACACCAAGATGTCCTTCAGTGGTTACTGTGGTCCATTGATGCCATCGAATGCTACTCAACAATAAAATAAGTACTGATGTAGAGAGGTGGCCAAAAGTAGGTTTATATTTGTAATACAAATTAATAATACAATAACTAATAATAATACAAGAATGAATTCTGTGTTTCACATACTTACAAACATAAACCTACTTTTGCCAACCCCAAATGATTATATAATGTATGGTTCCATTTATATAACATTTGCCAAATGAAAAAATTACAGATTGGCAAAGAGATTAGTGGTTGCCACTATTTTACAATGGGTTTGATAAGGAGGAATTAAAAGGGCACCAGGTATGGGTGTAAGAGCAACATGAGGGATCCTTGAGATGATGGAACACATTTTGCACCTCAACTGTCTAAACATCAGTTTCTGAATATGACATTGTGTTGTACTGTAGTTTTGCAAGATGTGACCAATGGTACAACTGGGGAAAAGGCAATGCAGGAATATCTGGTGGTTGTTTTTTTCCATAAATGCATGTGAATCTGCAGTTATCTCAAAATTATTTTTTTAAAACTGTTTTTCTTTTTTTCAGTCATACACACTGCTCCCTTCTAGCAATGACCATGTATTCCTGTCTTACTGTGTGGGGATAGTGCAAACCATGGGTTCTAGTGCTAGATTCCCTGGGTTTGATCCCCAGGTATCCTTGTATCAGCAGTGTTCTTGGGCAGATTCCTTCACTTCTGTGCCCTGAGTTTTCTTATTTGTAAAGTGGGGAGTAATCATTTCAGTATTAATAATACTCCTCTCGTAGGGCTACTGAAAGAAATGAATTCTGACATGTGAAAGAACAGATTCTGGTAGTTGTAGCAAGACAAATAAGTAGTATTGGTGGTAATAGTTGTTACTAAATCACCTTTCTTTGAACCCAGTTGGGATGACATGTTACATACATTTGCACATTCTGCTTTTCACTGAAGGAATTATTTGCCAACATTCAATAAGATTTTATTCCAAGATAAAAAAATGGTGGCAGTTTTTAAAAAAACATAATTACAACTTAAACTTTAGAGTTCAAAAAACTTTAGGTTACTGCCTACACTTCAAAAATTGATCTTTAGTTTATTTTCCTTTCCGGTTTGCAGCGTGAACGCCTGGACTTGCAGCCCTCTGCCCTCCTCATTCGTGTGCAGAGTGCACTGAGCACTCAGTCACAGCTGCCCCCCGCATTGATCTGTCGGGGCCGATTCTGCCAGTCATTCTCCTGACATTTCTAAGACAATGAAGGCCAACATTCTCTGAAATGTTCCCGTATACTTCATAATTTCAAGGCCCAAATCAGTGTCTGTTCAGACATTTCATCTAGAGTTATACCTTCCAGAAGGCAGTCAGGCATAATGTTGCCCTTCTTGAAGGTTTTTCTTGGCCCACGTTTTATTTATGTAAAGTGATTTCGGGCCACCTTCACTAGATCTGAATCATAACTTGACACTGCAATTAATGATATATGTTAGCTGCTTTGAGCTACTTGTATGAATTGCGGGGGTTTCCCAATGTCATGAGAATTCTTGTGTAGTAGAATGAATGAAATAGCAGCCTTCTTTGTGAATTCCAGTATTCAAGATTTAAGTAATAGCAAATTTAAAATAAACTGGAGTTTGCTCTTCAGCAGATGCGAAGACTAAAATAAATTTAGGCAATGGTGGACAATATGGACAAGGTGTGTCATTTGGAACTCTTTTTTAAAAAACAAAACTGGTTTTACAATTTTAGCTTGCAATAATGGAGTGATCATACCTTGCATAAGTAAAAAGCCTGCCAGAGATCTCCCTTAAGCTGTGTTATAATTCCAAATTCGGGCTCTCCTCTGGTCTGGGTTTGTTGTGAAAGCATCTTTGGTTGAAGAGCAAATGTTCGAGAGTGTAAAAGTCTTTTGTCATTGCTTTTCCTCTTTGCTTTCCCTTTTCAAACATATTCTTGTTTTTGTTTCTGGATTTCAGTCATAACACAAAAACAACATCATGGTTAGACCCTCGGTGCCTGAACAAGCAGCAGAAGCCCCTGGAAGAGTGTGAAGATGATGGTAAGGGGCTCAGAAGGTCTCGGTTTACATGCATTGGCCATATGGTCACACATGCATATTTTAGAGTTGTAGCAAGATCAAACCAGTTCTAACAATGAGTTTTTAAAAGGTAATCCAGCTCTGGCTGTTGTGGCTCAGTGTATTTAGTGTGGGCCTGCAAACCAAAGGGTTGCCGATTCAATTCCTAGTCAGGGCACATGCCTGGGTTGCAGGCCAGGTTCCCCGTAGAGGGCATGGGAGAGGCAACCACACATTGATGTTTCTCTCCCTCCCTTCCCTCTCTCTAAAAATAAATAAATAAAATCATATTTTAAAAAGTTATCCAATTTCTAATACTGCATTGAGGTTTCCAAAAGCAGAAGGAAAATCAGTAGAATTGTTTAAGAGAATAATTTATTTACACAAAAAGGCAGTACATAGTCATATTTCCGTTGGAAACATAACTCTACACAGTCAGAAACTGTTTAAATTAAGATGCAATCCCTGCCTTCAGGAACTTGAAGGAAATTCTGTAAAGTCTAAGAATAAAGACTTACCTATTGAACACTAATCCTCTATTACAAAAGTCTTGAGGCGGTGGAATATCAGCTTTTCTTAAACTGTTGATATTTTATAACTCCTATTTTCCCAGTCTTGACTTGGTGTGGCTGGTGTGCACAGCCAGTTGGATTCTCTGGGCCACACTGGAAGAAGAGTTGACTTGGGCCACACATTAAATACATGGTGACACACAATCACAAAAAACATCTCAGAATGTTTCAAGTAGATTTACAACTTCGTATTGGGCTGCATTCATAGCCATCCTGAGCCGCATGCAGCCCGCAGATCGGACGCCCCTGGTAGGGAAAGCAGATGCTGACTTGTTTGGGAACCTCTGTGACTTTGAGTCTATCCTAAGTACATGAAAAGTGTATTTTTCCAAGAAGGAGGCTGAGGTGTCTACCCCCACTGTCCTTGTTAATCTCAAAAAAGAACCAACTGGCTATAAAAGTAACCATTTAAAATAGTTTATTTCAAGGCTTTGGGATTTCTAATTACTTTTCCAAAAGAAAAAAAAAAAGTAAGATGGAACACTGTGGTCCTTTTCAGTACACTAGAGTCTTGACCAAATTCTACCAAAATTACTTTTGGACATGGACAAATTAAAAGGGAAATGGTTTGCTTTACTACTTGGTTTTCATTTCTTGTATTTGAATTAGTATAATTATTGAATACATATTACACTGTAAGATAGTGAGATTTTATTAATTTACCCTATGAGGCAAGTACATTGTTATATGTATCCTTGAGGCTTGTTTGAAAATGTAAGCCAAGGAAGTATAACACTGTCAAAATGTTGTACTCCAAGATCCTCCCATTGTACAATGGACTGAAGATCACAGGAAGTGAACATGGAATTACGTCTTCATATTTACCTCATTGACTCTGAGTAGAAATACAAATCCCTTGACTGACAGGGCATGACTGAGATGCTCATTTTATTGGGGTTGCTTGGTCTGTCCCTGAAGAAGGAATGGAATAGGTATGGTCAACTACATAGTTTTGCATGTTTAAGGGATAGTGGGCTATCCTGAATATACAAATATTCTGTTTGATATATATAATATATCGGCGACTAATTTTCAAAGATCAGAACATAAAATACACTTAATCATAAAACTTCATGGAACAAAATTTAAACTTTACTTGAAGCCTGGTGGTTTAGATATCATGTGTAGGCATTCTTATTACCATAGGGTCTTTCATGTCAATGTCCAGTATAGTTGGATGGGAATATATGAAAATACCTGTTAGTATAATTTTATAAGTTGTAGAGAACTCCAGTAGTTTTTACTAAAAAAAGTATTAATACAGTGAAAGTATTGAGTAGAATTACTCAGTGGTTTTGTTACCAAATCTAGTAAGTTTTAATTCTCAGGTTTCCTATTGTTGCTATAAATGTTATTTCCTTTGAAACAAGTATGTATTCATACCAAGCATACTTAGTTTAGTAATTATCCTTTCAACATTATAATCCCTATATTCTGTTTCTAGTAGAAATCATACCTATGTTTGTGTGCCTGTATACAAAACAGTATAAATATATAACCAGATTATCTGGTTAAATGTATTAACCAGATTGTCATGGTGGAGCCTACACCGTGGCAAGTATAGGCTCCCATACCTGCATTTTCTTTTGTTGCTGACTAACACAAAGCTGCCTTGTATTATTGTTTATATCATGACACAAAGGAGAATAACACTGCTGGTCATAGTATTGTTCCTGTATCTCTTTCTACTCTCTGTGGATAACATGCTGCATGCCACTTAGATGTTCGGGTCTCTGTCCTCAAAATACTCTTACATCCTACACCTCTATATTGAGTGTCTTCTGCATATCATGTGTTCTGGGAACTTCAGATGCGTGAATGAACACAATAAACAAAAAGCCCTGCTCTCGGAGGACTTAAATTCTTGTCATTTTTCACTCTATATCGTCTTGTTAAATTTTGTCTATCCTTCAAATTTTAGCTCAGGGACTCTTCCTATGTATGATCTTGCCCCCAGATATGACTAGGTCGCTCCTTTATATGTTTTATTCTAGAGAATTTATCACAGTTTTAACTTAATTTTTATTTGTGTGAGCTCTGGACTTGTCTCCTCCTCCAGAAGGATAGAGATGTGACCGTGCTCATTTCAGTATCTCTGTCACCTGGCATAGTGACTGGTACATGGTTGGTCTCACTAAATAATGATTGATGAAATGAATAAATGCCCCCAAAGACATTATTAAATAGTATCTAAATGAGCATTTCCATGAAAGGTTTTATGTAAATCATATTCTCTCTTTGTTGAGATATAATGCCAGCATCAGAACTTACTGTTTACAGTAGTATAGTCTTTAAAAAGTGTATAAGGTATTTAGGGCCATGTTGGTTATAAGTAAATAATTGATTAATCATCAATTTGAGAAATGTTTTGTCCCTATCATATACCAAAGCCACACTGGGCATGAGCCAATTGCTTTACTGAAAACAGGCTTGCTCCCCGGTTTTGTGGGGCTTACCGTGGAGGAGACAGCTACCACTCTACAGCTGTAGAGACTTAGTATATGAAGTGATTTGTGGTGCAGGCCTGTGTTCTTTCCACAGGCAATAAAATGTTTTACTGACAACAAGAGGGGCTCTAGAATGGAAAGGATCTTGACTTGTTTCACTCACTGAAGTTACCGAGAGTATTTTCATTCGAATATTTCTGTTTGACTTAGAAATATGTAAAGTAAACTGCCTCCTTCAGGGTAGCCTTCAAGCTTTGCTTCCCTAATGCACATCATCTGACATAATTCTTTCTAACCCAGTTTAAAAGATCTTGAAGTGTAGCTCATTTTACAATCTTCATTCTCAGTTTGACCTCACCACCCATTGTTAAGGCAGCAGTATCATTTATAAGATAAGTAATGCTTTAATTGTGAATGTAATTACCTTGATGATTAGAGGATTATTGAAGTATTAAAAGGACTGATATTGAAAGGTCTAACAACTTTGTTTCCTTGAAATAAGGCCTGTAGTAAGTGGCTTTTTGCTTAAGAACATTGAAACTGCGAAGGTACTTACCATGTTTACCACCAATCAAACCCTATTTCGATACCCAAGGAAATGAGCCATATAATTTTGTTGCCAATACCATCCAGCTCCTACCCTTTTATGATTTATACTGAGGTCTTGAGTTTGTTAGCTAAGTCAATGAAATAAGCCACATTACAGGTAAGGACAAAATCAAGTGATGTACTCGCTGCTGTTTTTCGGAGAGGAGTTTCTTTCTTGGTGCTGGTGTCTGAATTTTTCTTTCTCTCTTTTCTGTCTCATTCCTGCTATTCCTTTGGAGAAGAAGGGGTCCACACCGAGGAGCTGGACAGTGAACTAGGTAAACCCTCCAGCCTGCTGCTGTTGCATGACTTGTCCTGAATGGTTTTGTCTCCAATGAATTGCTTAACCTCTCAGTTTCTTTAGTTTACACTTCTCCAATTATGATTTTCATTCCAGTTTATCCACGAAAGGTCAATCTTGCAACACGTGCCTAACTGCAGACATCATGCAGAGTTGTATGTAGTAAGTTACATCTGCAAAGAAAAAGTCTGAGTGAATTGAGAATATAATGAGAATTAGCAAATAGTTACTAGGTATTCTTGTAAGTTGAGTATTAAGAAAAAACTGAGGGAATAGACCCTTGCCTTGTCCCTTGAACTCTCTCATATAACCTATCTCGGCCTCATTTTGCTATTTGTTAGGTGTGGATAGTTATCTACATAGGTAATACCAAAAAAGCAAAGCAAAACAAGGAAAAAACTATCAGACTAATTCAAGGAGTGACAGTAATACAGTAACATCAGTGATTCTTAATTGAATAAATAGTTAATATTTTCGGTATTATGTTGTTCTTAAGTCATTGGCCATATGTTTGTAACTGTAGTGAATGGCTTGAAAACCAGATGCTGTGTTTGGTTGTGTATACCATTTTCCATAGAATGTATGTATCTATGTAAACCAAGTTTTTACTACCCTAACTATTGTAGTTGGAAAGTAATTTACATTAGCAGAAAATGCCAAACTTTTTTATCTTTGCTGTTGGAATATATTGAATGATGTTCTCTAAGTTAGCAGTTTTAGAGTTCAGCTTTGAACAATGTTAGTATTGGTTTGCATTCCATCTGATTCCTCCCCAGAAGAATAGATGAGAAAGCTCAGATTCTGGCTAAACTGTAAAAGAAAGCCTTGGCTGATTAAAAATTTACAATAGTATATTTTTTAAATAGAAAATCATTTGACGTCACTATGAATGGAACTATAATGAGATCATTGAATCAGCCTAGCGTTTTCAAGATTGCCTTAACTGAAAATATTTAATAGAGATGATTATTTTTATTCAATTTTGTTATATAGATGAAGATAATCATAGTTGACTAGAGTTATGATACACTAGAATTTAGCTCTGCTTTTCTTTATGTTTAGAACATATCCTATGGTAATTGGTGGATATGCCAGTGATGGTTGATAACCATTGATAGATCTATTTTTAAACATGATTAATAAGTTCTCCTTGTGGTCACTATAGTAGGAATGACTTGCGGTTCAACCTATGTAATAGAAAAATTTGAAACTAATTTTATTTTTTAAAAACTTTCAGTCCAGTGATATTAGATAAAATAATTGAAAAAGAAAGAACTAGGTTTCCCAGTCATAAAATGAGCGCATTAATCACCTGTTGAACCCATTGGAACCACTCTTGCTGCCTGTCTAATATGTGTGCGTGGCTGGTGGAAATAATATGGCCCAGTACTCAGCACACTTTAATTTGCTTCTGTGCAAGTTCAGATGTTGAAAGAGGGGTCTTTCCTCTTTAGGAAAGAGGTGTCTGTTTTCTTCTTTCCCAAGTAACTGTAATATTGTCACAATTTTCCTATGATCTTATGGACTCTAACAAATGAGTTTGAGCAGCTGCATAGTATCTGTCATGGCTGCAGTTCTGGGTGATGGTTTGGAAACAGAGGACTATCTCTTTAAGGTTGCCTGGCCTCAGATCTCCCCTCACTGGCTTCAGGACCTTGGGCAACTCATTCAGCTTCTCTTAACTTCCCCGTCCTTATCTGTAGAGAAGCTGAGAGAGGAGCTGCCTTGGTGCTTGTTGAGGAGACTTGATAGATGTGTTTTAATTTGTCCCTGTGATCAGCTCATATTGTTTTTACCAGTTTTTTTAATTTTTAATTATATTTTCCCATTACCATTTAGCCTTTTATACCTCTCAATTTTATTATTTATTACCAAATTCCCTCTTGTTGGACTTTTCAGTATTGCCTTATGGTACTTTTTGCCTTTAATGTGGGACAGGAGAGGAGCTTCTATACTGTAGAAATGTCCCAAATGTGTCCTTGTAGGTAAAGTAGAAAATAGGATTTTCTACTCTGATTTTTGCCTGCACATGTCTACTATAAAGAGTGGTACACACACACACACACACATACATACACACACACACACACATTTCTTTTGCATTCACTCCAGAATCTATTGATAAGCTGATTGTCCATTTTTGTAATAAGAGGATTCTAATCTTAAGGTAGGTAACTCTCAGGTTTTCAGGGAAAAATTCAATTCCAGGTGTGAAAAGGAAACCCTCTCTATACATACAGTGTTGGTTGGCATGGGTGTCAGAGAAAGATCATTTGATTATGGAGTTGTCATTTCTTAACTCTGTTGTTTGATCAGAGTCAGTAGCTCCATTATGCACTTTTGGTTTACAGAATTTATGACGTCCTCTGTGATAACATCTCCCTAGAAGTGAAAGGCACATGCAGACCTTCTTTTGGAATTATAGGGTATTCTTATGCTGAAACCAACTAGGAGAGGTTGAGAGGAGGAAATGAAGTCTCTTCCCAATCAAAACTGTGCCACAGGTTTGAAGTTTATCTCTGCTTATGAACATGACTTTCAATCTGTATGCTGACAAATCCCTTTTGAAAAGAACTTAGAACATTTGACTGCTCCATGTTTGCTTTTGTGGCGATGATTAGCACAATGCGAGGTTTACCCAGGCAGGAATAGCAAGTGGGCCATACAGACCTGTCCAGTTCCTCATCTCCTTTCCCAGACCAGCTATCTGAGCCTATGTGCCGACAGGGTGCTGTGCAAAATGTTTTACAAACATCCGTGTCATCTGCAGTCGACCTTTGTGGCAAATCCAAGAGGAAGGCCTGCTTCCAAGATGTTAAGTAGCCCAACTCCAGATCTGTGAGGGGGTGCAGTTAAGGTTCATCTCAGACCTGGGCAACCCCATGGGCCTGGCGGCCTGGCCTCTGTGACAGGCAGTTCAGTCTGACCTGATGTCCAGCAGTGAAACGAGGTAGGGAGGGCAGTGCGGCTCTTTGGGCATCTTCTGAGTGTTCAGTAAAAAAAAAATCGTGTCATCTTTTTTTAAGCTTTAATATTTTCTATTTTCAATTTTTTAGAACCAAATGGCAAATTAAAGGACAAACATTTCTATTTTAAGCAGCAGGGGACTAATTCTTATAATTAAATTAATTGACATATTGGAAGTGAGAAATCAAAATCTTCCTTTTAAATTTTAAATGAAGTTTCATTGAAAAACGGAAAAAAATTTTAGCATTTGCTAATCTGCCCCAGAAGATGTGTTCAAATTTACAAGAATCCAGAAACCCTCTTTGACCAGCCTCATTCTCTTTGTTGACGGGGTGGCAGGACAGAGTCAGAAGTGGCACCTTTCTTGTGCCCTCTCGACTGCCACTGGGTGCTCGGCATGTGGAGTTCGAGCCACCTGCTCAGATGGTACACTTGGGATTATCTTCGTGTCCTGGTGCCTAGCACACTCTCAGGCAGACAGTAGGCACCCAACAAATGTCTAACTACTAGTAATGGAATGAACTGAATTTTTACCACTTTCCCTATTTTATCTAGAGATAACAGAGCCAAATATGTAAGGCTGCAGATTTTGAGAAGAGACTTGGCTCATTAAGCAGAATGTGGACCCTCATACACACCCGTCCTTCTTCCACATGCCACAGCAAGCAAGTGACTCTGCGCCAACTCGCATTTGTTAATATTAAATTTCCTAACTTGTGGAAATGTTTTCCTGGTTCATTTTAATTTAAATGGTAATTTCCAGCTTTTTAAGGGGAAACAAGTCATTTTTCCAGTATTTGATCTGCATTAGTCCACAAGACTGGGTATAAAAATGCAAAGTTTTATCAACATCTGCAAATTGGACTTTTCATTTTTAGTAGCTTACATCTCCCAGAATTCAAAGACTTCTTTAAAATCTGCTGTTTTTTTATTTAGAAGAAAGGGGAGAAATCGTATCTCTTTGTTTGCAAAATATATAACATGGAGCAAAAAATGTGAAATTAATGTGTCTTGATGTAGAGCCAAATTTGGGCAAAACATAAATTTTCAGCAATTGTCCTGTGTGTTTGGGTGACGTGCAGGACCCCATTTCAGTTGGAACTGTTTGTGACATATGTAAGTCTTGGTGAAACAGTCACTGTTTGAAAATAGTGATCAAATGATTTCTTGAATTTAAAAAAATCTAATATTTGAAAATAAGTGACATTTCAAGAGTTTGTAATATTCCATTCAAGCTGGTCTTAATGGCTACTTCCAGGGACAGTGGTTGACTTTGGAGCGCTGTTTTATACAAGCTCGCTGTAACTATGTATCTATATATGTATCTGGGTGGCTTTCAAATTAAGTTGAGTAATTGTTCTCTGCCTGAAAGAGTTGCTTGATGACACAAAACAACAGCCAGGTTGCTTCTTTCACCAAGTCAGATTATCTGCTGCAGAGGGCCTTTCACAGTAGATTCTTGTGACAGAATTCACTGTTACCTAGTTAATCAAGTTCCAACCTTCGATATGAAACCTTACAAAGTGAAGTCTAGTAGAGCACAGTTGAGTTTACAGAAGGCATGTGTATGTGCCAATACCATTTACCACCATATTTAAAGGAAATAAAATCTAGTGAGTTCTTGGAGAGCAGGACCTGTGTTTCTGCTTTTGTAGGCAAGCTGGTGGTAAAGATAGGCCTGCCTGAGTATAGCGATCTGAGTGATGGGTGTGTGCAATTCAAAAGCCCAATGCATTGTGAACGTTTTTACTTTGTAGCATTGTAATTAGGAATAAGGAGAAGATCAGACGTAAATTTTATTTTATCACAGGAAGAGAAAAACAGCACTATTTTGTTGAACACGAAAAGAAACTAATTTTAATCGAATTTTGCTTTTGTGTTGATGTAGTCTAAAAATAAAATTAGAAAACTATAAATATTTAAAATAGCAATTAGGCATTGAAGGCAAATTTTAACTCTATTTTTATTAAAATCTAATTTAATCATTGACTTAGAACAAAGGCACCTGGGACTACATATTATTAAGTTTCATTTGCTCGAGCAAAATAGAAGTAAGTAATTGTTCTTCATATAGAAAAAATACATTGATAAAATAAAAACAATGGTTGCTTTGCTTTTAGGATACACAGTTTGTATTGTATTTAAAATACTTTTATAAGTTTCATCTTTTGCCTAACTTGTTGAAAACCCCTAGGCTCTTTAAGAATATCCTCTTCTTACTCTGAATATTCCTTTATTTTTCAGAACTGCCTGCTGGTTGGGAGAAGATTGAAGACCCTGTCTATGGTATCTACTATGTAGAGTGAGTGTCCCTTGATCCACACTTTAGTTTACGCCCTCTGTTATTATGTACATTTATGCTGTTCAGAATTTGCCATTATAAAATATAAAGTAAATAATGATAATAACATAATTTTATAATGAAAATATGTCTATTTTAATTAATGAGAAACTATTCAACTAATCTGAAGGTAGCAAATTATACTATACAATTCATGAGGGCCATAGCTGCGTCTTTTGTTTACCACTGCATTACTGAGGTCCGGCACAGTCCTGGTATATGGCAGGTGCTTAGTAAGTGTTAGTTGAATGGATGGATGAATGAATGAGGAAGGCGAAAATTTAATAGACCAAATGAGTAGGGACTACTTCCAGAGGAGGACCTGATTGCCTACATTTTGCCCTGCCCAAGTCTGGGCTTGTCAGAATTACTTATTTATTCATTTAGACTTTATTGGGTCAGACAGATCTTAATAATGTATGAAATGTTGCCAAGATAAAAAAGGAAATTGAGAACTAGCCTAACCTGCAAGATCCTGTAAGCCTCTTTGTCTCTCCTGTGCCTGAGGACCATACGTGTGGCTCCTGTGCCATTTTTCAGAGCCTCGAGCCCTCATCGTGACCTCTGTACTGTGCTCCTTATTCTAGCACCAGCCACAGACTTTGTCTTCCTCTAGCCTATGGGTTAGTAGGATGACACCAATGAAAATGAAAGAAACCCAAGGGATTAAACATTGAATAAATATGCTTTATATCATTTCCTCTGAGGAAGATGAGAAATAACTAATAAAACATCCTTTGAAAGAAACAAATGCCATATAAATGTCCTGTCATCATCATTCTACCTGCCACAATGAAATAACTGACAAGCTTTCTGTCCTGCATGCTGCTGGCAATGAGAAGTCATTTGTGTAATATCCTGGACATAAGAACATAGGATGTAAAAACATCGGGTCATAAAATGCTCGGCATCTTATTGTAAAAAATTATGCGTATAATATAGCAAGTATCCTTGGCCTTTACTCATCTTGCCCACTATTTTCCTAACAGGGAGGATTGTGATTTGGGGCATCAGAAAGGCAAGCTCAGTCATTTCTCTGACCTTCGTAAAATAAAATCCCTTTGTGCGCTCAGCAGATCATCTGTCTTGCACATGTACAGTGAGGTTCTTACCCATTTGGGGCTCATTTTGAGTGCTCCCTCAGCTGTGTATTGACAGAAGAGGAATAGGTAACACAGCTTTTGATGAAGAGATTTGGTTTTAAGTAGCCAGTTGTTTTCCTACTCTACGCCTTGCCTTCCTGTATCTTTTCAGATTCAATGCCTTGTTAATGTTAGAGCATATCTTAGCATGAAATTGCCTACAAGAATTAAGAAAGAAACAAGCAGTCCTACAATAGGAATTAAGGGTAGTCTATCCACCTTATTCAATTCTAATAATCATATAATTGTTATGTTCCCAAATTTCTAGTGAAGTATGATTTTGATGAAGAAAAATATGAATATGTTATGCTTATGTGTATTTATATAATGTGTGTATAATTACACTAAATATGGCCATGTCAAAAACCATCTATGTACTCATATTATGTGTACATGTGTGTGTTTTGCCATGGCCTTATTAGTTTTAGGACCATCTGAAGTATGTGGGTCTTTGTCACTTTGCACATATCACAGTTAGGTTAGTTACAATTTGGAGTCTTTTTGCCTAAGGCTTATACTTTTAATCCTGACCCCATGTCTATTGATCAGAATAATTGACAGATGTCGTAGAGTACTTCTTTGAACTTTACTGTTTGGATGAGTGCATATGCATCCATGAATTCTCTCATAGAAAGTTAGATGGCAGTTCTGGCATCGTATGTTACCGAATCCTCACATCTCTGTTTTCATGTCATTTTTGAATAATTCTATAATGTATGTCTTGTTGAATTAAAGCAGCTTACACCATCAGGTGATTCCTTAAACATTTGGGAGTTTTGGGATTTGAAAGCAGGCAGACCTGAGCTTGCCTGCCTCTTTACTATTTACTAACTATGTTATGTTAAGTGAGTTATTACTTAACTGCTCAGAAATTTACTTATTTTAATCCATAAAACATAAATGATAATAATAGGACCTAACACTTGGAATTTATTAAAGATTTTAAAACAAATGTGCATAAATCTTACAACCCAGTTTTGGTACATATAAGCAGTCAGTAGAGGAAATCATTGTTCTTTCCTCTACCTAACTGCACATTTGACACAAGATGGTCAGCATCTCAGACCACCTGCTTTGCCCAGGCACTAATCATGAGAGTTGGCCTGACTGGCATTTTGCTTGTGGGATGAAATGTGTTCTAACTAGGTACTGTCTGCCTTCTGCTCCAGCCACATCAACAGGAAGACACAATATGAGAACCCAGTTCTAGAAGCCAAACGGAAGAAGCAGCTTGGGCAGCAGCCGCAGCAGCAGCAGCAACAACAGCAACAACAGCAGCAGCAACAGCAGCAGCAGCAGCAGCCATCAGAAGGTTGGCTCTCTCCTGATCTGTGGGCTGAGGAGTGCAGGGCAAAGCCTTGGCACTGACACCCCCGTGTGGTCAGAACTGGCCTGCACGGTCAAGTCCTCCTGCTGCCCTAAGGACTCAATGTCCTGCTGGGAGGAATACAGAGCTGCCACAGTCCCTGCCCTAGAACCCAGATAGTTCAAGTGGGAGACCCCATTCACAGGCACCAAAATTTCCACTTTAATTTAGAAAGGACCTTTAATTTAGATTGGAGAACTTTCTGATGGTGAAAGAATTCGTTTTCCCCAGCAACCTTTGCACAGCAACTGGTGTTTAACTCTAAACCACTTTTAGCATCTTAGGGGGAAGTTACCAGGTATGAAACTGGCTTTTGCTTTTAGTGCGTTTACATGGAAATATCACAAAAAGCTGATGATTCAACAGCTTTTTAAAAATTGCAAGTTAATTCATGCTCTCTGTAAAAATATGAACAACTTATGAGTGTAGAATATGAAAATTTCCCCTACTTGCTTCCAAACCATTCTTATAGATAAAAACTGCATAGAAATTTTCAAGGGATATACAAATATGCATGTTTTAACAAAAAATAAGATATTTTATATATGTATCCAGTGGGTTGGCCAAAAAGTTTGTCATGGTTTTTTTTGTGTGTGTGTGTAAGATGGCTCTAGTAGCACTTAGTTTTCTTTAACTTCATTCAAAACAATTTTGTTAGATTGTATTGTGACAGCTGTTGTATAAGCATGCATTTACAAAAATCTTAATCAACTTTTGTGAATTTTTATGTAGTCATTTTAATATTGAAGGAAGAAGGTATACAACATTTTCAGCATATTATGCTTTATTATTTCAAGGAGGGTAAAAACACAACTGAAACACAAAAATAGGTTTGAACAGTATATGGGGAAGGTTCTGTGACTGATCGAACGTGTCAGAAGTGACTTGCATAGTTTTATGCTGGAGACTTTTCTCACTGGATGTTGCTCCATGGTTGGGTAGAGCAGTTGAAGTTGATGGCAGTCAAATTAAGACATTAATTGACAACAGTCAATGTTACATCATGTGGGAGATAGCCAACATGCTCAAAATATCCAAATCAATAAAGTTTTTGGTAAAAATGAAAAACATGTCTTTTATTTTATGGAAAAACCTAAATGAACTTTTTGGCCAACCCAATATTTAAGTTTTGTGACCTGTTTTTTTTCCACTTAAATATATTCCTTGCATATATTTCAAAGTTGGTTAATATTGATTTATCTCACAATTTTTAATGGCTGCATTATAGTCTATGATATAAATGTCACCACTTCATTTAGCCATCTGTTTGTCAATAGATGCTTAGGCTTTTCCCAGTTTTTATTTCACTCTTTCAAAACAATGGGCTTAATACACCCCCAGTATAACACATGAATGTCAAATATAACACTTTTTATAATGTTGCATATAATAAAAATAAATCATAGATGGAAATAGGCATACTTTTTGTGCACATGGGCAATGCAGTAAATTTTGCGGCCTCTGTTCATACGGTCTCTTTGCGACTCCACGTGCTGTCTGTAGCTGGTGGGAGCAACTCTACAGACGGCACGTGCACAGGTGGGCCTGCCTGTTCTCCAGTGCTGGCTTAGAGATGGACACTGACATTTAGGCTTCATTTAATGTTCATGTGTTATGAAATATTCTTCTTTCTATTTTCAACCATAAAAGTCATTTTGGACTCACAAGTTATATAAAATCAGGCATTAGGCCCAGTTTGGCCCTTTGGCTATAATTTGCTAACCACTGCTATAGACTGTTTTTTAGAGAGAGAAAAAAGAGAGAGAATGCTCACCTATTGAAAAGTTCTTTCTACCTCAATTTCTTTTCTATTTTTAAAAAATGTTTTTTTAATATTTTTCCTCAGCTGGTAAAACTTGGTAGTGTTAGTAGAGTTTGGGGAATGGGAGTGTTCAGTTGAATGTGTGAGCTGAGCTGGAAAGGAACTTCGGGGTAAGTGTCAAGGGTCACTCACTGAGTTATTTCTGGGTCTCCAAGGGGAACGAGACTATAGTGAGGGGCCAGTTTGGACTTCAGAGATGATAGGAGAGAGCACCTTAGCAGATTCACCATCACTACCTCAGCTGGCTTAGCAGCCAAGCCCATGTCTCAGCTGTGTTACAGAAGTGTCTTCCTTACTGGGCTGACTTCAGTTAACTGGATCTTTTCAGATGTTTTTGACTTGGTTTCACTTTGGAATCTTCAGCCAGAGAAAACTAGAGACTTATTGATTATATCATAATATTTCTATCCACAAGGTCTTAGGAAAAAAAGAGACAGAGAGAGAATCTTGAAATTCTTAACAGAGTAGAATCAAATACCTTTTTAAAAAAAAAGTTATTGTCCCCTGGTTTTATTGGTTTGGGCAGTTTTATAATGAAGAAAAAGGTGAATCCTAAGTGAGCTATTATTTCCTGTCTTGCAGAATGGACAGAAGACCACTCATCGCTCGTGCCTCCTGGTATTCCCACCCACCCCACAAGCAATCCGGAGCCTGCCAGAGAAGCTCCACTTCAGGGTAAAGGGTTTTTATAATCACATCACTGTTTCAGCTCAAAAACCTGATTTTTAAAGGTACTTTAAGGAGTGGAATCTTGTAACTCCCGACTCATTCTTTTGATAGTAAAAACCATAATGATTGGAATTCCAAAGATATCATTAATCAGAACTTTCAAAAAAGATTAGAAACTTTTCTCTATGAATTTCTACAGCTATTTGTAATGCTATAAAATTAATGACTACTTGTCATCAAGGATCAATTAAGCCAGGGTTTCTCAGCCTCATCACAGTTGACATTTGGGGCCAGATAATGCTATGTTGGGGCTGTCCTGTAGGATGGTTAGCATACAGGGCTCACCTCCTAGGCACCAGGACCACCCTCTCCCTGTTGTAATAATCAGACGTGTCTCAATTGTGTCATCCAGAGTGGTGAACCATTGATTTAGAGACCACAGATACTTAACAATTTTGTTAACTAAGGTAAATTGAAAACTAAGCATTAGATAGTTCAGGATTCTAGTCAACATATTTGCTTTTAATCAAAACTTTTCTGTACATTTAAAATGGTTTAATGTTTTACATTCTCATTGCTGATTCTTGCTACAGTTTTGGCATTTATACACGTTTTACAGCATTTCATGGGGGCTTACTTTTCTGTATTCACAAAACGTTTGATCCCCTAGAGAGGCTCATTTTTGAAAATTGAAAGCTCCCAAATCTTGCTACTTCCAGGCCTCATTACTCTTCAATGATAAAAAAAGGTTCTCGGGTTTAATTTTTTTTAAATAAGAATAGAACAAGCATCATATTTGATAGAGTTGAGGAATGTTTGTGGTACAGAATTGTTAAAAAGACTATAAAACGTGTTCCCCATTTTTAGAGAGATATAAATAAGTAGAATAATTATTTTCTCTAATTTTTATTCCTCCATTATAATTATCATAAGAAAGAAATTGTTTCCCTGCTAGCTGATATTGTCATGAGATTGGTATTAATATCAACTTATGTAAAATAAGTTCTGCTGGCTTGGATGTACTTTTTTATGATGATAATGGTTTTAATAAAGATATAACATAGTAAGTGATAACATTAATTAATATCAACATGATTGTGGCCTTCTTCATAGTTTTTAAATATAGAACTTCTTCAGCAACCTCATGTTGTCTTATTTCCCCCTCTCCTGGTAAGTTAGCTACACTGCCTCTTCAATTCCTTGAACCTCTCCTTAGTTCCTTAAAGCAGCAGAACTTAGACCATGTCAGAGCCTTTGCATATGCTATTCCCTCTTTAGCTGTCTTTTCCTGCTGGTGTTTGCTAACTCCTACCCATCTTAGGATATTGCTAGATTCTCCTGTTATATTCAGTCTTCCCAACTTATTCTCATTTATAGAATTTAACAGTTTATAATTGTTTCTTTGTGTTCAGCTATTTGACAATAGTTTTCTCTTTAGACTTTAAATCCCACAGAGCAGGAGACTGTTTGTTTCACTGTAGGGTATTCCAAACTAGGCAGAGTTCCTTTGATATCAATTCATTGCGGAGTGAAAGAATGTAGGTATATATGCATACATACATGCATGCATGCATACATACAAAGCAGCCCAGCTTCCTTAAAGAATTGTCTTAGAGGTTAAATAAATTAAAGCTTTAAAGGTTCAAATCTGGGTGCCTAAAACTTAGTGCACCAATGAGGTAAGGGTCCAAAGTTACTTACCTGTGTTAGGAGCTTCATCTCAGATTCCTTCTTTTTTCTAAACCTTCTTTTCTTTCTTTTCTTCTTTGACTCTTTTCATTCCCACTTGGGCTTGGCATTTGGGTTTGGGGGAGACTCACTGCACTCTCCCTGGGGACCATGCAATTCTTCCAGCCGTTCTGCTATGCGTCTCAATGCTGAGCCTGGTCTTTCAACAGTTAACTGCACCATGGAAGCTGTACTGGACAGCGGTGGTGTCCAGGGCCTTCACACAGTAGTGCCAAGAATGGTACCAACCTGACAGGGAAGCAGGCACCCAAAGGTTGTTCAAAAGTAGATTCGAGGACCAAGATGCAGAGGATTCTGATTCAGTGAATCTGGGGCAGGCCCTAAAAATGAGTACATTTAATAAAGAGCTACACAGTGAGATTCTCTCCCATAACCAGATATTACAACTGGCAGCTAACCAGGACCTCCCAGAAAATGACATGTACCAGGGGCTACAGCAGAGAGAGCTCCAAATTCACTGCTTGTGGGTAGAAAGACATTGCTTTTCCCAAGCTTCATTAACTGATGACTCTCCCATACATAAAACACGATAAAATGTGTATAGGTGTGAAACCCTCTGATCTGCTCTCCCTTGTTAAGCCTTTAAAAGGAGGTTGGTGGTCAACTTCAAACTTCAGCTTATGACTATGATAAGTTTAAAACATACTAAGGTCAAAATATGCTAATTCCCTTTAAAAATTCATTCAGATAAACTGCCAGGTACATTTTCACCTTTTCTAACTTCACCTATAATAGGAGTAGAAAGCTTAAACACACACCCACCTCCTCCAGCCTTCTCAAAGACACGTTAAATCTTATTTCCTTGTGCTGTTGTTTGTTCATTCATTCAGCGCATGTTTTTTGAGCACATAAAATGAAGGGGACAGTATTCTGCACACTGGACGTACAAGCAGAGATCTGCACAGTTTAGTAGTCCCGTGTGTGTGCACACGTGTGCTGCCCCGACACAGGGGCAGGGACAGTGAGCCAAAATGCCAAACCAGTAAGAGAGACCTAAGACTATTTAGTGGCGATAAATGCTAAGGACAACAAAAAAACAAAAGGGGATTGAAATGTTGGAGAAGGCATTGCAATTTCTCCTAAAGCGGTCAGGAAGGCGTCACTGAGAAGGTGATGGCTGCTGGTGGCCTGGCAGTGTTCCCTGTAAGCCCTTGCACAGCCTGTTCACACACACCACAAAGTAATTTGGGGGGGTCATCTCATTTGTCCTCAGTGGATGATTCCCATGGCAGCTATGGATCATTACCGTGCCATGATTCCCACAAGCCTTGGCTGCCATTTACGTGGCCTCCTGGTGCCTTGGCAGACAGCCTTACATGGGGAGCCTGCTATGTCTTTGCTTCCCTTAGCTATGGTGATGGGGCCTGTCAAGCGTCCACCAGCCTTGGGACTTCCCCAGAGAGGAGGAGCTTGAGAAGCAGACCTGTGACTCCAATTTAAGAGGCAATTTAAAGAGCCTCTGTAAGAGCCAGAAACTTTTGAAATGTGCACAACTTTTGAGAAATGATATGTGTTCCACGAGACATTTTTTAAAAAGGCCTTTTAGTTAAAGCTAACCAAAACTAACTTTCTGGGTGCCAGGCTCTGGAGCAAGGGTTTTAGAGATTTTTTTCTCCTGTTTTTTTCTTAAATAAAAGCTTTGATAGGAAAGACACAGAGCACATGGGGAAACTGTGGGAAGGACAAGACAGGAAGTATAATTAGGAGAATTGAAAGAGTCTGAGCTTTTGGGATAACCAGAGAAATACCAGTAAGTTTCTAAATTACATTGAGATGCCAACTAACAAAGCACAAAACTGTTGGTTTCTGTACAACATGTTTTTTATAACTGTTATCAAGAAAATTCAATAAAACATTACGCAGCATGTTTGGAGGTTATCTAGCTATATATCTATTAATTTATTTTCAATAAAATAACTGAATTTGGAGTTATATGACTCTTGTCAGTATTTCACTTAGTTTAGGTTTTTACTTTGTTTTATTTTTTAAAAATATTCCAAACTACTTTTCTAAACCTCTTTTAACTTTTTATTTACTTGTTTTTTGATGTGTGGGTGTGAACTTGGGGCCTCATACACGGCAAAGCATGCACTATACCACTGAGCTACCTCTCGACCCCTAAGTTTGTTTCAAACAATACATTTTAGCGGTGTACATGTCTAGACTATTTAACAGATTGTTAAAAGTTGCAAATTAACAGGAAAAATCAGTTGAGTTTGGAATTTAAATCAAAGTAAAATTATAACTCTTCTCATTTTGAAAGTAGTGATTGTACATTTTTAGCAAATTATTCTTTGTGTCCATATGTTTCTTAGTATTCTCTATGTTTTTTCAGAAGGAGTTTTCTGTTTAATTAAAAGCTAAACATTTTGCTGATTTGGTTTTACAAATGGGAGCCAACCTCAAAGCAATACATTAGAAGCTATATTGCAAAGTATGTACAATAACAACACAAAAGACACAAAGCAAAGGCCCCCTCTTTCTGTGGAGGGCCCTGTGGCAGTTCCACTGCTGTCAATCCACGTGGACTGAGACCATGGGCAGTGTCAGGTGATGGACATCAGCTTGATTCTTCTCTTATATTTCCTTTTGGATCTCCATGCTGACAGACTGTCAGTTCCATGTGCCCCTCTTAAACGAAGGGACCGAGAATCACCCCAATTATGGAAATCAAGAGAGGACTCTCTTAGACACTTATGTTCCTAAATGCCCCAGCACAAGAGCTTGGAGAATTATCCTTAAGTTGTATCACCTCATATATAGTTCACTGTTTCACTCCTCATGACTTTCTTTATGCTTTTCTTGTTTTCATCTAGGCAAACCCTTTTTTACACGAAACCCTTCAGAGTTGAAAGGCAAGTTCATTCACACAAAGCTGCGGAAGAGCAGCCGTGGCTTTGGCTTCACGGTTGTTGGCGGCGATGAACCCGATGAGTTTCTGCAGATCAAGAGCTTGGTTCTAGATGGTCCTGCTGCTTTGGATGGCAAGATGGAAACAGGTAGAGAAACCATATGACTGAACAGCATTCCTTGTGTGGTGAGACTTCTGCCCAGCACTCAAACAGGACCAAACAGTAGTGTGATTTCATGAGTTTATAAATCTCCTGTGAAAACTTTACATGAGCAGAGTTCCTACTCTATGTAAATGCATTCCCTGGTATAGAGGAAAACCTTAGAAGCCATTTCAACTTTGGGGAGCTCTTCTGGTGCTATTGAGTAGAGTAAAGCAGGAATTTCCTAAAATTGTAGATCTGTTTGAGTAAATAAATTCTGAACTTGGATTTCTGCAGTGAGAATTTGTTTTAGAAGAAAGCTCCAATGTTCTTTTCAGTGATCTTATATTCTTACTGGCAGGGAAGACACTAGACTCTAAAAGAATGCCTTATTAGCCACTAGAATAAGTAATAGAAGTAGTCTCTTTGTGTCCTAGTATATACCACCCCCAAATTCAGCTTCAGTTCAATTTCCTATTGGTAGACATTTATATTATTATGTTGATATAAATTTTCTGTGTATTGTTTTAACCCCCAAACTCTTACCTTTTGCAGGAGATGTAATTGTCAGTGTGAATGACACTTGTGTTTTGGGACACACGCATGCACAAGTTGTGAAAATCTTCCAGTCCATTCCTATCGGTGCCAGCGTGGACCTTGAACTCTGCCGAGGTTATCCATTGCCTTTTGACCCAGATGACCCCAATACGAGTTTAGTGACCTCAGTGGCCATTTTGGATAAAGAACCAATTATCGTGAATGGGCAAGAGAACTATGATTCGCCTGCCAGTCACAGCAGTAAAACAGGCAAAGTCAATGGCATGAAGGATGCCCGGCCAAGCAGCCCAGCAGACGTGGCTTCAAACAGTTCCCATGGTTACCCCAATGACACTGTCTCTTTGGCTTCCTCCATAGCCACTCAGCCAGAACTTATAACTGTTCATATAGTCAAAGGGCCAATGGGCTTTGGTTTTACTATCGCCGACAGTCCTGGTGGGGGCGGCCAGAGAGTGAAACAGATTGTTGACAGTCCAAGGTGCCGAGGTCTGAAAGAAGGGGATCTTATCGTGGAAGTGAATAAGAAGAATGTGCAGGCTCTGACTCACAACCAGGTCGTGGATATGCTGATCGAATGTCCAAAGGGAAGTGAGGTCACATTGTTGGTGCAACGAGGAGGTATGTAGGTTTATTTTGTTCTTTAATTTTTTTTTAACCCATAACCCATTGTCTAATTTAACTGGTTTTCAGTTGGCTATTTAGGACTTTTTAAATGTCTCCTTTTCTAAAGTTGTTTTTATTTAAATGTTTGGAAATGCATTCAAAATATTTTCTGATTTCTTCTAATGCTAGCATCTTTAGAATAAAGGTTGTGTTTATACATTAGGTTACATATGTGCAGCTAGAGTGATACTCTTAAATATAAATCAGATTGTATCTTTTAATTACCATTAAGATTTAAAAACTTTTATCCTTTAGTTCTCCTGAACCTGGCCTGCCCAGCATGCATGCTAAACATTGCTTCTGGCCACTCTTCCCACACCTTTCTCCCCTGCTCACTATACTTTAGTTACCTGGCTTCTTTTCTGAAGTGCCTTTTGAGCTCCAGGCCCCTTATGTCTCAGAGCCTTTGCTCTTCCTGGCCCCTCTGCTTGACATGCACTGTTCCCCACTCTTCCCTTCGCTGTCTCAGTCTCATTCACTTATCACTCCTGAGAGAAGGCTTCACGTATCACTTATCTAAAGTAGAATCCCAACACCTCCTTGTAATCTCTACTTCATTACCTCATTTCTTCATAGCCTCCATCATGATTGTCACAAGTTGTTGATTTGTATATTTATTCTTTGCTGCTCTTTTTTTCATTAGAATGTAAGATATATAAAGTCAGGGACCATGTCTGAATGTAGATAGCTATATCTCCAGCATTTAACACAATATCTGGCTCCTGCTAGGTATTCATGAATATATAGGTATTGAATAAATGAATGAGTATGTGATTGTCTATACTTGTCAGGAACCACAGCTCTGCCAATGTTATTTAAAACATATCTCAGCATACCCATGATTTAATGAAGTGGTTAAGGATCTCAGAGAAGTGGGATATGCTAAGTTTTGAGACATCTGACTTCCTCATTTCCCCTGCCTTCATGCTCCACCCTCGCTCCACCAGAACTCCCAGGACCTCACACTGAGAGATATTTTCCACAATGTTGAAGTATCTTATTTCTAAATATGTACTTGTGACTAGTCTTGATTGATCACCTCACACAATGTGCCTGAGATTGATTGTCCCCTCAGTCCTTGCCAACATGATTTGTTTCATGCATAGCATATTCTGACCCTCTGAAAAGGGATGAGGAACCAGGCTTTCATTTTCTCTTGGCTCCATTGCAGCAGTGGCACTCATTCCTGTCATAGCAGCCTGTTCTCATGCTCTTGTGAAGCCGTGCATTCTGTGATCAAAATGATGAGTGTCATTGGAAGGAAACCCAAAATTCAGAGCAGCTGTCTGTGGGAATTGAAATGCTCAATCTTTCGTGAACAGTTATAAAAGCCATTGTGCAGATGTGATTCTTAAAAATGTTTCCACCCATACAACTTTGAAGTCTCTTGTGTCTAGATCACTTGAGTGTAAGGATAATGATGATAATACCTGGCACTTGCACATAAATTAGCAAATTACAAAGCACCTTCATACTGTCACACACCTCTCATTTTTACCATGTCCCTGATAGACAGGAAGGTGCCAGCCCATGGTATGACTGAGAAGTCCACCTCCAGTCTGTAGTTTGCAGTCTGGTCCTCTGCCTTACTGCACTCTGGAAAATACTGATTTTCACATAATTGTTGATCTCTGTAGTTAGCAACTTGGAAAACTTTCAGCAATCTTTAGTTCATTGGGGCATCTCTGATCCTGCATATTTGATCATCACAAAGCACTCTGCTCTGCTACCTAATTTATTTGTCCTTCTTTTGTCAATGTGTTCAGTTTACCTTTTTTTGTTAGATTCACTTTTAAGGGGACCAAAAAATACAGTCTCATCACAGTCTACTAACTAACAGTGATTACTGGAATCATATTATAATGAATATGCCCAAACTAGCAAACAATTGATTATAAAAACATATCTCTTGATTTCAAATGTTTGCATTCTCTCTTCTTAATTTCTGAGACCTTCTTTTTGTTAGTGCCATTATATTTTATATTAATTAAATTAATATGGAAAGACCAAGAATATACTGCCTCATTAGTCAATATCTGCATAGTTTACTCCAGGACCTTAATAATTTAAGATAACTGTAACATCACCAGTCTTTAAAATATACCATATGCATTGTGTTTGATTCTCATGTAGGACAGAAAGTTTGAACATGTTCAGTTGGCAGGCCAGCAGTAGGCTACTATTAATCTTTCTGGGCAACATATAAATATATCTGTTTCTGCCACACATTAGTTATTTGTATCAGCACAGACATTTTAATCACCTGCCCTGTATGGTGGGGTGTAACTGACAAGGTTTGTTGAGGCAACAAACACAGAAGCTCAGTTAATGAGAACATAAATGGACATTTCACTGATTCTTTCTCATGAATCTCGGGTCATCATAACTCCAACTAAGCAGATTGATAAACTCAAGAAATCCACACCTTTTGTGAATCTCAGGGCTTTAGGTCTGAGGATGAAGCTTTCTTTGCTTTAAAGAACTGCCTTTTTCTACTTTGGAGTATAACTGGCTACATTTGTAATTTGTTTAAATTTTTAATCTTATAGTTCATTTTTGTTTTTTGTTCTTGTCAGAATCAGGTACATCTTGGCTTTTGGTATTTTTCATCTTTTCCACCCCCTTCTCCCAACCTAGAAATCAAACAGAGATTGAAATATCATTAATCTATTTCTGGAGTCAGTTTCCTGGGTCAGGCTTGGGGTTGCTGTGAGTGTCCATCCATATCCCTGGCAGCTGGGACCATTGCTGATTTGTTCATAAATCTCTTCTCTGTAGACATCCCCACCTACTGGTCTGCCAGTCAAGTTCTCTACAGGGCAGTGCCTTCCTCCCATGCCTGGCTCCTAGCTCACCACGCCTCTCTTTCCTCCTTCTCCCTCTGCTGTGCAGTCAGAATTTTAGTTATTTATTTTTTAAAAGCATTTGCATTCACATTGCCTGTCTAATGACTTTTTAAAGCTTTTTATTTTTTTTTCTTAATCAAATTTATTGGGGTGACACCGGTTAACAAAATTATACAGGTTTTAGGTGTACAGTTATACAACACATCATCTGTACAATGTATTATTTGTTCACCACCCTAATGCAAGTCTCCATCCATCACCGTTTATCCCCCATGCCCTCCTCCAATCTCCACATGGTTGTCTGTGTCCGTGAGTCCTTTCTCTTTTTTTTCCCTTCTTGCTCAGTCCCTACATTCCCCACCCAGCACCACCCTGCCGCGGTCCCCCTGTTCTCTATCTGTGAGTCTGACCCATTTTGCTTGTTAGTTCATTTTGTTCATTAGATTCCACACATGAGTGAGATCACATGGTACTTGTCTTTCTCTGACTGGCTTACGTTTCTTAGTGTAATGCTCCCTAGGTCCATCCATGCTGTCCCAAAGGGTAAAATTTTCTTCTTTACAGCCATGTAGTATTCCATTGTCTAAATGTACTATAGTTATTGTATTTATTTTTTTATTTCTTTTTTAAAGCTTAGCATGGTAAATTTTTTAAACGATTTTGTTTATCTTTAGAGGGGAAGGAGAGAGGGAGAGAAACATCAATGTATGGTTGCCTCTAGTGCATCCCCTGCTGGGAACTGGCCTGCAGGGGACTGGCCTGAAACCCAGGCATGTGCCCTGACTAGGAATCGAACCTCGATCCTCTGGTTCGCAGACCTGTGCTCAATCCACTGAGCTACACCAGCCAGGGCTGTATTTATTTTTTTTAATATTTTGAAAAGTTTATTTCTCTTTTTAACATTTTTTATTGTTGTTCAAATACAGTTTTCTGCCTTTCCCCTTCACCCCTCCCTGCCACCCCACCTCCCTACCTCCCTCCCCTGTTTCCACCCCCCCTTGTTATTGTCCATGTGTCCTTTATACTTGTTCCTGCAAACCCTTCACCCTTTTCCCCCGTAATCCTCCCCCCTCTCCCCTCTGGTCACTGTCAGCCTGTTCTCAATTTCAGTGTCTTTGGTTATATTTTGCTTGCTTGTTTGTTTTGTTGATTAGGTTCCTGTTAAAGGTGAGATCATGTGGTATTTGTTGCTCACCTCCTGGCTAATTTCACTTAGCAAAATGCTCTCCCGTTCCATCCATGCTGTTGCAAAGGGTAGGAGTTCCTTTTTTCTTTCTGCTGCATAGAATTCTATCGTGTAAATGTACCACAGTTTTTTGATCCATTCATTTACTGATGAGCATCTAGGTTGCTTCCAGCTCTTGGCTATTGTAAATTGTGCTGCTATGAACATTGGGGTTTATAGGTTCTTTTGGATTGGTGTTTTGGGGCTCTTAGGGTATAATCCCAATAGTGGAATTGCTGGGTCAAAAGGCATTTCCATTTTTATTTTTCTGAGGAAATTCCATACTGTTTTTCACAGTGGCTACACCAGTCTGCATTCCCACCAGTAGTGCATTAGAGTTCCCTTTTCTTCATGTCCTCTCCAACATTTGTTTGTTGATTTGTTTATGATGGCCATTCTGGCTGGTATGAAGTGGTTATCTCATTGTGGTTTTAATTTGCATCTCTCTGATGGCTAGTGATGGTGAGCATCTTTTCGTATGTCTCTGGGCCCTCTGTATGTCCTCCTTGGAGAAGTGTCTGTTCAGGCCTTTTGCCCATTTTTTAATTGGGTTGCTTGTCTTCTTAGAGTTGAGTCCTACGAGTTCTTTATATAATTTGGAGATCAAACCCTTGTCTGAGGAATCACTGGCAAATATGTTTTCCCATATAGTCAGTTCTCTTTTCAATTTAATGCTGTTTTCTTCAGTCATGCAGAAGCTTTTTAATTTGATGAGGTCCCATTTGTTTATTCTTTCCTTTCTGTCTTGCTTTAGTGGACATATCAGTGAAGATGTTGCTGCGTGGAATGTCAGATTTTCCTGTCAGTGTTTTCCTCTAGGACTTTTATGGTATTGCCGCTTATATTTAAGTCTTTTATCCACCTTGCAGTTATTTTTGTGTATG